CTGCAAGTAACTGGGTTATGATTTCTGAGTTATCAATTGATCCACCGCTGTTCTTGATTTCAGTAATCGTCTTTTCAAAATCAAATAGGAAGGTACTTAGTTTTTCTTTTCCTGTAAACTTCATGTTACGTAACTTTCTTTGTAACATTATTTGATTTGCTATTCCTTGTGTTTTAAATGTTCCACTTAATTCTTCCATAATTTCTTTGGCTGTTCTTTTGGATTTTACCATTTCTAATACGTTATCTGCCAGAAATTGTACGATTATATTTCGTGCTTTTACGTCATTCTTCTTGAAACTTGCCAAATCAGCTGGATCTTGTGGAGGTTCTGTTTCAATTACTTCTAATACTCCATGCTGTTCGAGACACAACTTTACTCGAAATTCCCAGTTGGAATATCCATTTCCATCAAAAGGTTTTACATTTGCAACCTGCGAAATCGATGCCGCCATTTTGTCTTTTTACCAGAACTTTCTTCCGTTAGCTACTTCCCAATAAAACCTTTAATTTCGTTCACTTTTTCCGATGTTTGGGTGCCTGGGCCCATAACCTGTTGAATGGCACAGTCAAACTCAGTGAATCGAAAGAAAACGTATTTATTTATAGCTTCTAATTGGTTTAACAATAAACAATAAGTTCTTCAGACTGTGTTCAGACTACGACTTCTCGCGTTCTTTTTTTTAATGTTCTTTTTACATCCACAGATTACTAACTACTAATCTGGTTATGCAACCAGTAATTCTTAGTATTGTCATCAACATTTTATTGGGTATGATGAAAAGAAGCTGCAAACTAAATTATCGTGGAGCTATATTTTAATTTATTTTTATCTACAATAACTATTACTTATTTTTTGTACGGCGAATTTAAATTTATGGGCCATCCATAAATTTACACCGTATGTGTTCGAATATTGGTTAAACCTCGGGTAATAGCCCGAAATATGCAAAAGAGCGAGTGAGTTTAGGTTAGATTAGAATTAGGTTTTAGTTAGTTTTGCATTAATAAAAATGTAGACCTAATCTAAACCAAACCGAAACTGACCTGTTTTGCCTATTTCGGGCTCCTACGTGGGCAACCCTACGTTTAACCAATATTCGGCCTTTTACGGTAACATAATACTCATTCTGATTGGTTTAATCTGGCTCCATAACGAAACTGTGAGTTTGAGGTGCTATTGCAAATTAATGCCATTAATAATAATAATAATACAACCTTTCCCAACCTGGCAGTTAGGTAAAAAATGCAACCAAACCTATGGTAAACATGGTGAATACAAGAAATAAACGATATTCTCAGGGCGAGGGGGGACAGCGGGCTGGTCCCTTTCGGAATCGTCCAAATCCGCAGCCTGTCGAGGGTGTCAGCATGGCGGGTGATGCTGCCCCGAGATCTACACTCACCCAAACGCAAGAAATAGGACATCCTTCATCTTCAAGTGCTGAACCGGACACACCTGTTCCCACCGAAGATGGTACTGAGCAACTACCAACGGTACGTCGCAAGAAATGGATCAACGCCGAAAATAGTGAAATCATGCGACTGTACTATAAAGTTGCTAACCTGGAGACGGACTTTACAATGTATCGTGACAGATTGTATGCACAATTTATAAAGGTTTTCCCAAATCTTAAACACTTAAGCGAGCAACGCATCGCAGATCAACGCAGGGCCATAGTAAGTAGGAATCTCCTTTCTCAAGAGACACTGACCAGAATCAAGGAACAAATAAGACTAGAAATCAACCTAGAAACAACTATTGACATACCGCCACAACCACCGCAGAACGAAAGAATACCTGAAGCAGAGACAGAGACTGCACTACCGACATAGATTACACTACCGACCGAACAAACCCAACTGGATTATCTATACCAATCAAACCTAATTAAGTTTTATGGCTCCAACCCCAACCGCAGACCATCACTTCCGAAAATAAAATACACAGCACAAACAGCAACAATCATCGAGAGAGTCAACGCTATCCTATGTGATAAACTGAAAACCAGTTTCAATTTAGAAGAAATACATGTACACATATACTGTGCAGCCCTAACTTGTCTTACACAAAATGGTCAAGATGTAGCCCAACGTCCTAAGGGAAATAAGAAACCTATACCACGCTGGGAAAAAAGAATGTCTGACAAAATCAGCAGATTACGTAGAGACATAGGTCGCATGCAACAACTTTCTAAAGGAAACGATAGTGAAACCCTTTTAAAAAAGATATCAGAAGACATAACGACTAGATTCCGTCAACTAAGCGGCCAAACCCAGAAAGACTGTTATCGATACTCTAGATTCATTAAAACAACAGCTAGCAGTACATACAGACAAACTCAAACGGTACAAACGAAGCTACCTACGACGGATGCACAACGCCCAATTCACCCAAAACGAGAGGTGCTTCTATCGCAACCTTGGAAATAAGACAAATAAAGAAAACCTCCAACATCCAAATGCCATAGACTCAAACCAACTAAATCAATACTGGAACATCTGGTCGTCACAAGGAGAGCATCAAATAAATGCCGCATGGATAAACCAGGAGCGTGAAAAACATCAGCACGTAAGAATGGAAAACACAATAATTACCCTGCGCGACGTTGAAAGTGCAATCAAAAAATTACCTAATTGGAGAAGTCCAGGGCGTGACGAAATTCACAACTTTTGGCTCAAGAAATTTTCCTCTACTTACACCTAGCGAAACCTACACCTACTTACACCTCTACTTACACCTTTTGAAATACTGCCAACACAGGAAGTTAAATACCTGGGAATAACCCTGGACAGTAAACTCCTGTGGAACAGGCATATTAAGAACACTACCAGCAAAGCCATAAAGGCTCTCATGATATGCAGAAGACTGGCCGGAAATAGATGGGGCTGCTCCCCTAACATTTTGCGCTGGATGTATACTCATGATAGTAAGACCCATGATTACTTATGGAGCAGTTGCGTGGTACACACAAACTAGAGCAACGGATTTGGCAAGGCTAAACCTATGCAAAGTCCAGAGACTAGCATATGGTTTGCATCACAGGAGCCATGAGAACCCCTGTCCAACAGCAGCAATGGAGGTCATTCTAGATCTAACACTCACTGCACATTGTCATTGGTACTTAGATATGCCAATGCGACAATGATTAGAATGGTCACTAACGGAATTAGTACTGGGAGAATTGTCAGATCAGGGGCTTGGAACACCCTCAAAAAGGAAATACCACTCCTGCAACCCCCAGTGGACGATATGCCAAGAACGTACAACTTTGACAAACACGACAATGTAGTATTGAGAAATAAGAAGGATTGGAAGAGCGAAACGCTTGCCCAGCAGTTAAAAGACCATACCATAACTTGGTATACTGATGCTTCCAAAACCAATACGGGGAACAGGGATCAGGAGTGTTTGGGCCGAGAGCTAATTACTCTGAACCAATGGGCACTTACCCCTAGTATCCTACAGGCAGAAATCTACGCTATCGAGAGATGCGTACAACTTATCTTAGATAGGAACTATCGGAAACAAGAAATAGCCATCTTATCTGATAGTCAAGCAGCGTTAAAGGCGATCAACTCAGTATCAATCAATTCGAAATTGGTCAAAGAATGCATAGAGAAGCTGAATAAATTAGGCAAAGAAAACAAAGTCCTCCTACACTGGGTGCCTGCTCATGGCAATGAAAAAGCAAATAATCTAGCTAGGAAAGGAGCGAACACTCCACTAACTGGACCAGAACCGTTCTGCTTTCCAAGTGGTAACCAACTCAAGGCGGAACTCAAGAACTTGGAAGATTCCATCCGCAACCTGGAATGGAAATCTTGCAATGGTCTAAGACACTGAAGATGTTTCTGAGGGCTTATGATCAAGAAAAATCACAGATCTTCCTGGGTCTGAGTAAGAACAATCTTCGGATTGGCACGGGTTTTTAACAGGACACTGTCTCCTCAATGAACACCTCAGTAGATTGAAACTAAGAAGAAACAGGCGAATGCAGATTCTGTGGAGAAGATGGTGAAACACCAGTACACCTCATCACTGAGTGTGCCGAGACGACAACCATTCGTGCCATGAATTTTGGTACGACTGATATTGGATGAGATGGAGAACTACCCTCTATAAAACCGTCCCAGATACTGGCTTTTGTCAAAGCCCTGGGACTGTATGATGAGTTATGATTCAAGAAAGGGGGACACAATGGATCTGTAAGGTCGAAGTGATTAACCCCCCTCCCACTCATTCTAAATTCTAAAAAAAATTCTACACCTTTTGAAACACTGATGACCCACATCACAAGTACATGCGAGAGGTAGCCGACGCTCTATATAGAGTATGGCACTGCAAGAAGAAGACACCTAGCGAGAGAATTTACTGAAACTTTGATTGACCCCAATAAAATGCCCGTCTTTCTAACGGAGGGAATTACTCACCTTCTACCAAAAACAGAAAACGCAGATAATCCTTCCCAATATCGACCCATCACCTGCCTCCCATCAATTTATAAGATATTTTCAAGCTGCATTAGCAGTAAAATATATACCTACCTGGTCACCAATAACATCCTACACGAAGAGCAAAAAGGTTGCAAAAGCAGGGCAATGGGCTCTAAGGAACAACTTGTAATAGACTCGGTGGTTTTGGAGCAAGCCAGACAACAAAAGAAATCTCTTCATGGGCTATATTGACTATCAGAAAGCGTTCGACTCCATACCACACAGCTGGCTGTTGCAAGTTCTAGAAATCTACAATGTTGACCCCAAAAATCTGCTGATTTTTAAGGAGACCATGCCTTCATGGACGACCTCCTCAACCTCAGGTCTGCTCCCTTTGACATAACATCGCCAAAAATTCCAATTCGTAGAGGGATATTCCAAGGGGATTCTTTTAGCGCCCTTTGGTTTTTTCTGGCCTTAAATCCACTATCGCGGATAATCAATGAAACAGGTTATGGATTCTCACTACGAACGAGACGTCATCTCATTACACACCTACTATACATGGATGACTTGAAGATATATGCTGCAACAAAAAACCAACTTGAAAATCTTCTGCGTACCGTTCATAAAATCAGCGCAGATGTTGGAATAATCTTTGGTACGAGCAAATGTCAGACTGTTTCAATCATAAGAGGAAAACTATGCGAAACACCAGAATTGAATCTAGATGAGAAAACAATTATCTCCTCAATGTCGACTGAGCCGTATAAATATCTTGTAATGCTGCAAACATACAAAATAGAACATGGAATTATTAAAAACCGCCTATCGACCGCCTTCCGACTGCGACTTACCTCCCTACTAAAGACAGGTTTGAATTCTAAGAACCTTTTTAAAGCAATAAACACTTGCGCCCTACCGGTTCTTACATATTCTTTTGGAATAGTCAAATGGACCGATACAGACTTGGAATCCCTAAATCGCCTGGTACGAACAATCTTAACCAAATTTAGAAATCACCACCCAAGAAGCGCTACGGAACGGGTGACCCTCCCTCGAAATCTTGGAGGTAGAGGTTTACTGGATGTTGTTAATGTCTGTCGGGAGCAAATAAAGAGCCTCAGAGAATACTTTTATACCAAGAACAGCAATCTTTACGTCACGGTGTCTTCAGCTGATGTCAAATACACCCCCTTGAACCTCAGTAGTAAACAATATGATGCTTTTCCAACTCTATCAATCACTAATAAAATAACTACTTGGGGAGCCAAGGAGTTACACGGACGGTACCCAAGTGAGCTAGATCAACATCACATTGAAAAGGCGGCGTCATTGCACTGGTTAACATCGGATTATCTCTACCCAGAAACCGAGGGATTCATAGTGGCTATGCAAGACCAAGTGATTCCAACACGCAACTACCGGAAACTCATCCTAAAGGAGAATATATCAGACAAGTGCCGTAGATGTGATTCTGGAAGTGAAAACATAGAACACATTTTATCAGGGTGCAGTAATCTGGCGAGTACAAAGTATCTGGAAAGACACAACAGAGTCGCATCAATCATCTACTTGGAGATCCTCAAACACTTCAACATTGACCGAGAAATCCAAGAGCCCTACTACAAATATCATCCACCACCCGTAGTCGAAAATAATAGTTTCAAAATATACTGGGATAAAACCATCCTAACAAATAAAACCGTTAGACGTAACAGACCGGACATCACGCTTATAAATAAAATTAAAAAAACAGTTTTACTAATTGACATTTCTATTCCTAACAACAACAATATACAAAGCAAGTTTACAGAAAAAGTAACAAAGTATCAAGATTTGAGAATAGAAATAAAAAATATATGGCAAATGGAATCGGTCCAGGTAGTCCCCTTGATTGTTTCAGCCATTGGAATTATCCCGTCAACCTGAAAGAACAATTAAAAGTAATTGGAATACCTGAAAATACTTACCGCCTATGGTGCTGCCAACATTGTTTGTTCGTTTCTAGGTGATTAACAATAGCACCTTGTCTTGTCCCCATGGACCGATAAGGCAGCTTTAAACCTGCTCTGAGCAGGAAGAAAAAAAAAAAAAAATAAATATATATATATATATATATATATATATATATATGCAGTATATAGCAACTATATATATATATATATATATAGTATATATATATATATATATATATATATGCCTATACTTGCTACTTCTGCTATATATATATATATATATATATATATATATATATATATATATATATATATATATATATATATATATATATATATATGTATATATATGTTATATATATGTATATATATAATGTTAATGGCAATTAGCGATACGTTAGACTGCCGGAGTGCCGACGTCACAAATGTCAAATAGCTTTCCAAACAAGGTTTAATTCTTCTATATTTCTATTGAGCTCTTCCAAATGACGTTACAAGTTAATATAAAATGTAAAAAAACAGGTGATTGCCGACTATCGCCGACTTTTGTGTCTGGTATTTTCAATACGCCTATGATGGTTGCGCATGTTGAATGCATGATTTTTTTTACATTCTATGTTTTTGATGGGATATAGATACTATGCTCGAGTTTTGGGCTGAGGGTACCTTTGGAAAACCAGAATTATTTTTCTTGGGCCCAGATGCTGCTTTATAGCAGGTTCCCCCTGTTCACCCAACACAAATGCTCGTTGGTTTGAATGCATCCGCTACGGTTGTTTTGTAGCGTGGGACTCTTGATGGTATCCTTGGTGTTGTCCAGAATACCGCTCTCCGTTTCGTTTTTGTCGATTGAAACAAACGATAATGATAATGAGGCTCTCTGTTTCACAGTTGGAAACGCTCGTTATTGCCTCCACCACTGCTGACTTTTTTTTGCAAAGTCATAGTCCCTTTCAACGTAATTTTAATTTAAATATAGCCCTTTAAAAACTTAAATAATATAATTAACTCTCCCAGACTCAATCTCTAGATGCGCCACTGCTCATCTGTAATAATACAGTTGAACCTTTGGCGGTACAGTAACAAAATAAAATACTAGTTCATTGTAGCGTAGGGTATTTAATGTTAACATCTACTTGTAAACGATGAGTGACAAAACTATTCGAAATGTTGTAGTTGTGTAAATAAGTAAAAAACAATGTTCGACATACGTATCAGTTTTATTTTAAATGAAATTTTGCTTACTTCCTTTAACCAAACATTCTTACATTCTATTATTGATTTTTTTGCAAATATATATTTTTTCTATTTCTTATATATTATACGGGGTGCTTCAAATTCTAGGTACGAGCATTGGTATGTCAGAAACCGTAATAGATACGAACATGGTGAAATAGGGACAAAGTTGTGTTTTGGGATGTTCACCAAGATGCTATAAAAATACTAACTGATGCTATAAACTAACTTTTTTAAAACTACTACACTTTCATATAGCCACGTTATCAGGGCTATCAGATCGTATTTTTATATTTTCAAATTAGCTAATAGTTTCTGAAATACAAAGGCCAACTTTTTTTTAAATATGGATCTGCATTTTTTATTTCAGCTTTTGATAGAATTCTGTCTCCTGAATACAACGATATGCCACACTTAATATTTCTTTTGTTTTGGACATTACAGCGTTTTTAAACCACTGCCATTGGCAGCTTTTCATCGATAAAGCAAATAACTTTTTTGAACACAACTTTGTCCAACACAATTTTGATACAAATTTGTCCCAATTTAACCTTGTTCCGATCTATTACGGTTTTCGAGATACCTATGCTAACACCGATTTTGTAGCTCCCTGTATAAATATATTAGGTATATATTCTTGTATAGAGTGACGGTGTAAGAAAAATTCACATCTATGCTTTAAACAAGTCAGGTAGATTTTTTATAATGTTTTATTTTGATTTTAGTATGCAAGAATCTTCTATGGAGCACTGAATTTCTTCTACCGCGTTCACCAAAAGAAATAGAATATGTTAGTACTGTATAATAAGAATATACTAAGGGCTGGCAAAGGTTAGTCTTGCGTCGAGATTTCCGTATGTAAGAAGTACTGAACAAAGAGAGGAGAGTAAACACGTTGCCAATTGTATGAAATAAACCGAGAAACTGTGCACATCGCTAAGAGACGTGGAAGGGGATATAGCAGATTTGTCGCAGTTGACCGGTCGACCCAATCAATACCTCTGTCAGTACTTAAAGTTTTAGGGAAAGGTGTACGTCATGCGTTCAGCTCCACGATTTAATTTCGTCTCTTGATACTTGATTTGTTTATTTATTAACGAGTCGTTGTAATTTTCCCTATAGCTTGAATTTTGTGCAGCTTGAAAGTGCAAGCTAGAAACACTTGCATTTTTGGTAAAAATAAGTGGAATTGAGTGGGTATTCGATAATGGTCGCGCTACTAGAACTCTGAATTCTAAAATCGATATCTCGAAATCTATTAGAAATAACAATATATTGTAGTTTTTTCAAGAACTTTGTTAATATTTCTGGCTGTATTTTCCTTGTAGACAGTATGTGAAAATCTTTATTAATAAAAAAATTACACGATTGCTGAAAATTGCTATGCTCTAAAAGTAAATGGATGGATTGTTTACAATTTTTGAATGGAAAAAACAACCTTATCGAATTTTTATGATGTAAACATATTGTAAAATATCCGATCTTGAAAATAAAAAAAGTTTCAATTTCTAAAGTGGTTTTTGAGTTATGGCCTGTTATGTGTTAAAAAGTTGAGTTTTTAAATTCGCGATTACTGACGTTTTTTCGTTATAAAAAAAATGACACCCTAACGATATCCTTATAATTCCATTTCAGATGCTCAGAAACATATCTAATGATTGTATCTAGTTATCTTTTCGAAAAAAAAGTCTTTTAAAAATAAGCGATTTGCGATCGTGATTTTACTTTACTTGATAGGGAAAGGCGTATCGGCAACGCAGCAACTTCACACCGTCGCGCGTCGCGTCGGTCAGTCGCATTTCTCTCACTCCGACTTAATAAGATCCCTATGCGATTTACTTCCACACATGTAAATGCCGACCCAAAAGTAACAGTTGCCAGCACGGTATACATTATACTAATTATTATATTATTAATCCATCATTGTAATCTTTAACATAAATTATTCCTAGTGTTTGAGTATTACTGTTAAAATATATTATTTAATTAGTATTAAAACACTGCCTCACTTATTCAATAGGTATAAAATAAAAACCATTTTTAAAAATCTTGTTTATTTTTCTTAATTTATTACTTAATCTCATAAAATTAATTTTAAGATTATAGGCTTTATCTCAATTTGTTTTAATTTCTGAGATATCAATAATCATAGTCGAATTAATATTATTCAATAATCATAGTCGAAGCGATCGCCATGGCTCAGTAGCAAGTGTGTAGATGTATATTATGTTCACCAGAGATATGGAGATAGGAGAATGAGCAATGAAGGTGCGCAGAAATGAAGATCATGATGGGCGCCATGTTGACGTGTATGTCTATAAGGGAAAGTCAAAAAGTTATAATGATTTTACTAGAGTTGTTAATGACATTAAGATACATATAAGTCTAGGATATCAATATATCCTAGACTTATTTTCATAAATCAGGTAAAAAAATATGGTATGAGTTATGCCAATTCTTGTATAGAAATTTTAGTTTTAATTATTGTTTGAGACAGAAATTTTAACAAGAGTGTTACGTTTTGTTGTGGCAAGGATAATAATAATTGTCGGGAGTCATATAAAAAACCTAAGTATTTGCATTTTTGCATTGGAATTAAACAACTCTTTTCCTTATTTATAATAAAACCTAACAAAGTTAGGAAATTTTTAGTAAACTGGGAATCAGTGATTGCTGCCTGCTTTGCCTTACTAATGATAATTAGATAATCAAGATATATTACGCATACAACATCATGGTTTCGGAGATGTATAACTGGTTTAAGCAATTTGGTGAAAATGTATGGAGCAGTACTGAGTCCAAAGGGAAGACAGTTAAATCTATAATATATTTTATTATATTTAGAAGACAGATATTTTCTATGTTTCAAATGAATTGGTATTAAAAAATATGCGTTTGGGACGAAGAAATGCCTCTTGGATAAGGACGACATCTGGACTGTTGTCGTTTAAAAAGTCGATAAGTTCGAACTTTTTAGGGTTCAGGGAATTTGCATTCCAAGAGACAACGAGGATACCCTGGGTTAGAAATTTAGGCATTTCTAGGTGCCCAGGAGGGGATAGCAGACAGTTTAGCAAACATGTCGGCGACCAGGGTTGTTACTTGAGCTGTTATTTGCTCCAGTATAATTTTTTAAAGTGGTGGAGGGGAGAGTAACAGTCCAGACTGGTTAATGGAAGTACTGGATTTTGCTACGCTTGCGTAGGAAGACTGGGTATCAGAGGTTGCTGATCTGAAGCCTGAGGGTCTCCGGGCACTTGGAGGTTGGTCCGTTTTTGACGAGGTTTTATTCTCGGGATTATTAGGATTTTTTGGGCAGTTGATATGATTTGCTGCATGAGGTCCACCGCAGTTAGTGCAAACTGCAGCGGTTTTCTCATTTTTGTCACAGTCTATGGTACTGTGATGTTTTTCACATTTGACGCAACGAGCCGGGGCGAAACAATTCGTAGCAGAGTGTCTAAAAATTGTTCACAATTATGACACTGACGTGAGCCATTGCCTTGTTTTTGAGCTTCTATACGCACTCTTCGCAACGCTACAGTGCGTACGTTGTAAATGGATGTTTGGTATCTAGGGACTCTGATTTTTTCTACGGGAAGAAGCTTGCCTTTTTTGGCAAGGCGACGAATCTCTTTCACTTCATAACCCTGTGAAGTTAAATCATCGATAATCACGGAATTCTCGACATATGTTTCAATGCCTTTTATTACTACATTTAGATCCCGCTCACCTGGC